CTTAATCATTTGGTTATAACTGTTTTAAATATCTTCTCACAGTTCTTTATCTTTCTGCTCCTAGTGAAATATATCCATGTTTTTCTCTATTTTTGGTGTGTTTGTGTCTTGTTTAAAAAATACTTCCCTTAGGTCATGAGTATCTTCTATACTGTGTTCTAAAATATGCGTAGTTTTGTTTTCTACTTAAACTGAATTTTGTTTTGTGGGTGAGGTAGGTATCCAGGTTCTTTTTTCCCCCCCCTCATTTCTTGAAAAGTCATCTTTCTCAATTGGTTGAACATGCCATTTCTGTCATCTATGAAATGGTCATATTTACATGCGTCTATTTCTGGGCCCTCTTTTATTCCATTGCAGTTTGCCCATATATCAGTAACACACTGTCGCAGCTTTTAAAAGTCTTGATATTTGGTAAAATAAGTCTTTTTATACCTTGTTCTTCAAGATTTTGGCTGTAATCAGTTCTTTGCATTTTTATACAAATTTTGGAATTTCAACAAAACAAAGTTGTTAGGATTTTGATTGGGATTGTATTTTACCTGTGAACAAATTCTTTATAATAGGGCATATTTTGGTGAGTTAATATCTTTCCATTGTATCTTTGAATAAAATCATAATTGTCTACATAGAAATACTGTATATATATACTTCGTTAATTTTACTTTCTTGTATCTTTATGTTTTTGATGCTTTCATTATAAATGACATCTTTTAAGTTTTTAATTTTTTGTTGGTATGTGGAAAAACTTTAATTTTTCTATTCAGCAAACTTGCAAAAATCTTTAAGTCTAGTAATTTATACATTCTTTTGCACTTTCTGTAAGTAATGATAGATTTGTCTGTCTTTCTATTCTCTCTTTACTTTTTCTTGCCTAATTACATTTGCAGGGACCTCCAGTATAATGTTGAATAGGTTATGTGTAGGCATTCTTGTTTTGTTTCTGTTTTCTGGGAATGCTTTCAAAGTATCCTGTAAGCATTTTATGGTATTTTTATTAAACTTAGAAATTTCCCACCTATCTTTAGTTTGCTGAGAGTTTTTTATAATCATAAATGATATCAAAAAGTTCTATTGAGAAATTATGATTTTTCTGCCTTTATTCTCTGAATATGGTCAGTTACATGAACTGGATTCCTGTTGTTAAGCCAGCCTTTTCTTCCTAGGGTAAAAACAACCTGGCATGATGTGGTTTATTTTTAATAGCTGGATTTGTTTTAAGATTTTTGCTTAATATCAAGCCTGGTTTAGCCTTATAAAGTGAGTTGGAAAGTGGCTTTCTTTTCCTGTTTTCTGGGAAAGGTTGTATATAATATTTATGTTGCTTCTTCCTTGACTGTTAGGAATTGTAGGTACAATTAGAAATTGTAGGTAAAGTATGCTTGGGGTCTGGTGTCTTCTTTATAGGATGCTAATTCAATTTTTTTTTTATTAATAAGGTTCGGCTTTCCTGTTTCTTATGTAACATTGGTAAATTGCATATTCCTATGAATCTTTCCATTTCATCTACATTTTCAAATTTATTAGTAGTGTGTTTTTCTTGTATACTTAACATATGCCAGATCTATAAGGATGGTACCCTTTGTATTCCTTATATTGTAACTGGGATTGTTTGTATCTTTTTTCCTTGACTAGTCTTGCCAGAGGTTTATCACATTTATTATAAATTTTTTGAGCCAGTATTTTTGTTTTTCTTTTTTGTTATATTCTTTTCTGTTTTATTGATGTCAGCTTTTTCTTTCCATGTTAATTTGCCATATTGTAGTGGATGGTTAGCTCCTCAAATTTTCGACTTTCTATTCTCATTTACATATTTAAAGCTATAGATTTCCATCCAAGCTATTTTATCTCTTATGTTAGTTTTCTATGCTGGGTAACAAATTACCTTAGATTTACTGGTTTATAACAGCATAATTGTATTATCTTACAGTTTCTTGGGGTTAAGAGTCTTGGCATGGCTTAACTGTCTTCTGCTTAGGGTCTCACAAGACTGCAGTGAAGTCAGCTGAACTGCATTGTCATCTGGAGCTCACAGTTCTCTTCTAACTTAATCAAGTTGTTGATAAAATTTAGTTCCTAGAAGCTGTAGAACTGAGGTCTTCAGCTACTTAGGGCTGCTCTTCTATATAAGCAGTGCACAACATGACTGTTTGCCATTCTAAAGTCAGCAGAACTTCTGACTAGAATCTGTTTCAGAGAAGGCCAGAAAGAGTTCACTTGGTTAGGTCAGAATCACCTGGGATAATCTCCCTTTTGATGAAGTCAGAGTCAACTGAATAATCACTGCTGTGATGGCCACTTGATAAATGGGCCCATTAACCAAGGCCTGGGTTGGCTGGAGAAAAAGACTGACATCCACCAGACAATTCATCTTGTTCCCCTTATTGCAAATTTCCACCTGATGCATCCTGTTAGGCACTTATGTGGCACATGAATATATTAACATGATCTCACTACTCCAAGAGGCTTATCTTTAAGTCTCATCAACAGATCTTTTACACATTTTCCATTTCGTTTTTCCAAGAACCTAAAAGCTGGATGATCTATTAGACACTGCCTGTAAGTCAGTATATTTATCAGTTTGTCAGGTCATCCCCTCCTTTCTTGAATGGGAATAACCAGGTTTATAGCTAGAAATTGCCCACCAGGAAGATTCCCTGTCCCCATATCAATGCATGGATCAGAAATTGTCTCACTTCTAAATGTAGAAGGATTGATGGAGCTAAAAAATTACCACCTGCCAATCATTACAGTACTAGCTGATTCAGGCAAGAATCACTGATGGATGTAAAACTTAGTGGGTGAAAGTGTGCTGAACAGAATTCTTACATGGTCTCACAGTATCTCCCCATAAATTGCTTATAAATAACAGAAAAATAGTAACTTTACATTGAAGAAACGTGGCCGCCAACCCCTTGATCAAATGATCAATGTTCACCTCACCAGTAAAAGGACAAATCAATATCATGTACTTTGTGACATGATATGCTGAGAAAAACAAAGCATCCCTTCTATGCTATTCTAATGCATAACCTAAATCTGATCAAGGGAAAACATCAAAGAAACTCAAATTGTGTAACATTCTCCCAAATAAATGTCCTGTACTTTTCAAAAATGCCAAGGTCTTGAGTGGCAAAGAAAGATTAGAAGAACTGCTTCATACTGAAGAAGGGTAAAGGGACATGAAAATCAACACTACGTGTGTTCCTGGACTGGATAGTAGACTAAAATTTAGAAAAAGTTAAAAAAAAAAAAAATTGTCTCACTTCTTTACGTATCTATCAGTCTGCCAGATTAGACTATAAAATCTCCATGAGAACTAGGGCTGTGTCTGCTGTTCACACAATATCCCTAATGCCTAGCACATTAGAATGTAATCTAAATATATGTAGCATAAGTGACTGATGCATTTTCTTGAACATTTGGAGAGAAACTGTTAAGCAATTAAACTTGCAACCAATTTAAGATATTTTTTAATACATGTGACTATATTATGAAGAACAATGAAAAATTTCGAGCAATTTAAAAGAAGATGGAACACTTCAAGTAAATTTGCCCTTGACACTAGTGACTTCAGGTTCTTTAATGCATGTGACCTAAGTGGTGAATAGGGAAGTACATATTTATGGAATCTGTCATGGGTGGTATTTGAGTGGAAAAGCTTGAAAAGCATTGATTTTGCAGGGTTGCCAGAGAAAGAGGAACGGCAGAGGAAACTGAAGAATGTTACCAAGCAGGATGGAGCATAAAGGCAAAGTGGGGTTGTCAACATCAAGGAAACAGAGTGTTGGAAGACAATGGTCAACTTTGTCAATCACCAAAGAGAGACTCCCAGGGAAAATGAGGGCAACAAAAGTATCAATTGGATTTAGGAGGCCACTGTTTACCCAAAGAGTTTAGGTAGAATTGTTGGGAGGTGGAGCAGTTGGAGAATCAACTGTGTGGATAATGAATTGTGTTGGTATGGTACATAATAAGGCATTTCTGACTACATTGCAGCAAACCGAGTAATTACGACCTGAAGTGCCTTTCAATAAGCCCTCCTGTTGTTGGATGGGGAAAGGGAGGAAATAATCCTTAGCTTTACCTGTACTGTGTTTCTGAGGCTCAGGTATGGACCTTCATTCCCAATTTATTACCCATGGTCTCATAAGAGATTCAGTAACTGGGTCTCCTTTGGCCCAGTAGAGATTGCCTGAGAATTAAAAGGGGAGGGAGATTTCTGAAGTGGGGCTCTTAGATTATGACTAGAATTGGGTGCCTGAGGCAGCAATGGTAAGATGAAGTTTGGGGCTTTATAAGGCTTCTTGCGCTTTATTTACCTAATTGCTTTTTTGTTCTCTCTTGATTTTCAGTGGCGTTCCAATCTGTTCGGTTGTGGAGAACGAACCTGAAAAAATGGGATCTTTCCCAGGGTAGTTTTTGGGAGCAGGGGCTGATGTGCTGCACACCCTAGTCGGGTATGGTTCGCTGCGGTAGTCAAGTGAGAGAGCCGTAAAGGGACAGGAAAAGTCATTAGACAGTCTCAGGGAACCAGGAGAGTCTCTGTACCTCCGAAGGGTCTAGGGGTTTGTCTGGTCTGTAAGGGGCAAACACGGTGGAATTCCTTTACAGACTTTTCTGGCCCTTGACGTCCGGCTTTGGGGTACATGCCAAAGAAAAAAAAAAAGCAGGGAGAGTCCACTAGCCTTGGTGACAGTTCCCCATTGTGGTTTCCCCTCCTCCACCCTTCTTTGCGAGCTCCTTCCTTCTGCCGAGTGTTCCTGCCACGTTAACCCCTGACCCGCAGCTGTACTACCTCGGCCCTCAGCGCCACGTCTCGGGTGGGGCCTACCTTGGCAATGCAGCAGCCAGCCCTCGAGCGACCCCTCGGGAGCGGCGGGGCAGGTGCCGACTGCAGTCAGGCCTGGTGAGCGAAGGCCTCCAAGGCTGAGGCAGCGCGTCTGCAAAGGCGTGGGGCCGCCGACTCACGAGCGAACTGCTCTGCGAGCGCGAAGGTGTGCAGGCTGCGGTGGCAGCGGGGACGGGGTTGCTGCCCGCCGCGTAAGAGGTGGCCCCAGCCTCAACGCCCGGAGCAAGACGCCCACCGCCTGGTCGCGCTTCGCCGGAAGGGAAGACGGAAAAGCCGCGCGCTCACCAGCAGGCAAGTGCGGGGCTCTCGGGTCAGGGCGCGGGGTGGTCTGGGGGCCAGGCCGCTCGCACTACTTTCGGAGCCGAAGGAGAAGGTGCAGGCGCTGCTGTCCCCGGGGGGCCGGCCCGGCCTTTCCATCTCTTGGCTTACTCTGAAGGGAAAATCCACACAGCTGGCTGCCTTTTTGTTTCATTTTGACTAGAAAACCCATTTTTGAAAAGACACCTCAGAACCATAAGCAAATAGCCCAGAGTCTTAAATGCTCTAAAGAGTCTGTGTCAGGCATGCTGAGCCAGTGCTGGAGTCTTCTGCATGGGGTTTCCTACTTGTTTTTTTGTCCAAAGCTAATTAAATAAAAATAATTTGGACTGGCAGCTGTGACCTAGTTTTCAGTATATTAGTTAGGACCTCTCCAGTTTTCCACAATAGTAATTTTTTTTAAGAAAGTATTTAAAAATATTCTTACATTTACTATTTTTTTTAATTATCCTTTTAATTTTGGGCAACAAGGGTGAGAAAGGCTACATGATCTGGAGGTAAAAATACACCATTATATAGACTTGAACTGTCATCCCCTGAACCCATATTGCACGTATACAAAGTAGGAGAAATTGTCTTTCTCCAAGTGTTTAGTGTTCCTTAGATTAGCGAGGAATATTAAAAACAAGCCTGATGGTAAGATGCATTTGGGACTTTTGTTTAAAATGCATATTCCCCACCTCTGAAAGTTTTAATTTGGTAAGCTCGATTTCCAGAATCTTTATTTCTTTTATTATTATTATTTGATTTGATTCGATTTGATGTTCTGGGATACATATGCAGGACCTGCCGTTTTGTTACGTAGATAAACGTGTGCCATGGTGGTTTGCTGCACCTATCAGCCCATCAGTCCTTACATTTTAATATTTTAAAGTGGTTCATTACAAATCGAGTTAAGCAACTCCATTTTATATCTCGTTCAAATCAGAAAATAGATAAGCAAGTATAGGATATTGACACCTACATTTGAAGCAAAGTGAATGTGACATGTACGTCTTACAGTATGGGACTTGAAGTATAAACCATGTTTACACTGTTGAATCATGTACACCTATCTGTTGAGTCATTTGTTCCTTATGGTATTCTTAAAACCTATTAGTTTAACAAATATGTGCTGTTAAATCTCTTGTCTTTAATCCTCCCTAGTCCACACTTCCCATTCTAGGTCCCGCTACACTTCTTTGCTTCTCTTTATAACAAATAAAAAATCCTCTCTGAAGGATTTGCCTCTAAGTCTCTATTTTCATTTCCTCTGTTTCTTCCTACCTGCTCTCATCTCTACCTGCATTTTGTCCCCATTAACCCCTACATGGTCCTGACGTTGCTAATGACTACAAAATCCAATGTCTGTACACAGTTCTCATTTTTCCTGACCCCTCAGTAGCATTTGATCACTCCCTCCTCCCTAATATTCTTTGTTCTTCACTAATGTTCTTCACTAATATTCTTTCTCCTTCAATTGGCTTCCAGGTTACCACATTCCCCTGCATTTCATTTCACTTCATTGTGTTGCCAGGCTTCCCCACCACTAAATGTCAGTGTGCCACAGAGTTCAGTTCTTGGCCATACTGTGTCCCAAGGCAATTTCTATCCCAAGCCATATTCCTTGGCTATAAATATAACATCTATAAGTTGATGGCTTCCAAAATTTTATTTCTAGCTTTACTTCTCTTCTGAGCTCCAGATGTGTATATCCATCTGTTCACTCAGCATCTCCACTTGTAAATCTGATAGGCATTTAAATTTAGTATGGACAGACAGAACTGATGCCACACCCATCAAGTCCTCCCTCGGTTTCCCCTCAATATCTCAATAAACTGCCTCAGTTACTGCCATTCAAGTAGGCTGGAATTCTAGGAAATAACTCTTGACTTCTCTTTTTAGGTCAGACCCTGCATCCAAGCATCCAACAAAGTCTGTTGACTACCTTAAACAGAAGATCCCAAATCTGCCTACCTCTCCCTTACTCTCTAAGCTAAGCCACAGTCCTCTCCTACCCACATGATTGAGAAGTCTTTGCTTCTACCCTTGCTCCTCTATAGTATTTTCCAAATAGCAGTGATTTTTGTCATACATACTCATTTCATTCCCTTCAAAACCTTCTAGTGGCTTCTCATCAGAATCTCACACACACACACACACACACACACACACACATACACATACACACACGACTTACAATGGCTTTAAAGCCCTGTGTGATCTAGCCTATGACTACTTCTCTGAAGTCATCTGACTTCCCTCTCACCCACTCCACTGCAGTAACACTGATTGTGCTGCTGTTGCCTTTGCCTGCAGCAGGTCTCTGCTAGACCATTGCTCACTGTACTCCCTCACTTCTCTGTTAGCATGCTGCCTCGGGGGTTACTGTGCTATTGCAGCAAGATCATTTTTGCTGCTGGCCCTGTGGAGCGGGTTGCTATTAAATACTGAATGCTACACTAGTACTCCATGGAGCTTATGGTACCTTTAAAACATTGTTTGTTGCTGGAGTTCTCTGATATTAAAAATGCACAACCATTTTTCTTTTGAGCCTCATTTTGGTAAGATAGACAGTTTGCCTTTAATTCTGTGTTTTTATAGAATCTCTTCCTGACTTGAAGATTTGCCCTTTAACATCAGTTTTCATTTTTAGATACAGAAAATGGAAGAAAAATATCCAGTTTATTGAAAAGAATATGTAATAATATTTGCTGGAGGGGGGCAGTTACTTTGCCCTCCTCACCCCTGCCAGTTGGGGCAATAGGAAATAGGAAGCAATAATCTAACATTTGGAGACTCTTTGAATGGTACCAGCAACAGGTAGTTTATGGAAAGAAGAAAAATAAAGAAGTTTGTTCAGAGAATAATATATAAGTTTTTAAGTCCTGTAGTGACTAAGCCAATATCAGGGTTGTCAAGATTTCATAAGATATTACATAAATTCAGTTTGTGTTTGCTTTTTTTTTTTTTTAAGACAAAGTCTTGCTATGTTGCCCAGGCTGGCCTTAAACTCATAGACTCAAGCAGTCTTCCCACCTCACCCTCCCAGATAGCTGGGACTACAAGCACATACCACTGTACCTGGCTCCAGTTCTCTTTTGAGAAGTATGTGGAAATGAAAAACAATATTTTTATCTTTATGAAGAGGTGTAGCAACTAAAAGATTGTTTAATTTATAATCCTTCTCATTTTAATCCCAAAGAAGTGGTTCTGTTATCAGTAGCATATGTACTATCATCCCTTCTTTTACAAGAAAGGAAGACAATTTTTCTCATTTCAAAATTAGAATTTAAGATACTTTAATAAATACTTTCAATATAAGATTAAATAAAATAATACGTGGATTTGGAATATGGAACAAAGAGAAGAGTAGGAGGGTGAAGCGGAAGCCAGGAGTGAAATTATTAATAGTATCAAAACACCTGCCATAAGCTTGTGTCCACTGGCCAGAGAGCACTCATTAACCTGGAGCTCCCTAGCAACTAAGTGAAGAGATAGGGTCCATAAGATGAAAAAGCAGTGCCCAGGTGAAGATCAGATAGAAGCATTTTTTTAAATGTTTACTTGCTCAAGGACCAATTTTAGGTACTATGAAGATGAATGTTCGGTCCTCTGGTACTTAGAATTAAGAAGAGTATTGGAGAAGCCCTATTTGGTTTAGAGTTAGCAAACCCATGCTCTTAGAATATTTACATATAAATAAAAAACAGATGAAATCAAGTTAAACCTGGAGATAGGCTAAACTCATTTGGAATGTACAGATAGATCATGTAAGGAAGACATTTACCAAAGGTGTTGGAAAAAATATACATAGGGAAGATACTATTTAAATGGAAATCATATTAACATTGATATTTAAAAATATAAAACCTAGAAAATAGATTTTTATTTACTAAAAATCTATTTTTTCAGATTGTATGATCATTGTTCAAAAAGGTGAACATGTATGTGTATATGTGTGTACATGTGAAGAACATATGTGAGTTCACATATATATGAAAGACTATACATATATACACATTTATATATTCTTATGCATATACCATTCACAGAGTATCAGTGTTAACTCTTTGGTATTCACTTGGCCCTTGAACAACACAGGTTTGTATCATGCGGGTCCCCTCATATGTGGACTTTCTCCAACCAAACATGGATTGAAAATGCAGTATGCCAGGATGCAAAACCACATACAGAGGGGTGACTATTTGTATAGGCAGGCTCTGCAGGCTGACTGTGGGACTTGAGTGTGCTTGGATTTTGGCATATGCAGGGGTCTTGGAACCTCTGGAATCAGTCTTCCCTATCCCTAAGTATAATGAGAGATGACTGTACTTCTTTCCAATCTATTTTCTCTGGATTTTGTTTAACAAAGCTGAGATCATATTCCATATACTATTTTATAGACAGTTCTTTTGACTTTAATTACATTTCATTTTTGTGTCATGAGAAGCATTTTCTCATGTCATTAAAATTTTAAGATTCATAAACATTTTTAATGGTTTAATAGGATTCAATCATATAATGTGACATAATATTGTCATTCCCCAGTTTGGGGATATTTTGATTTTTACCTCCAATGGAATTTTGACTGACTTATGATACTACATACAAGATCTCTTATGGTAATAAAATATAGTCATATAACTCATACTTCAAATTTACAAAAAAATGTCTCCATAGATTGCATGATAAGAGAAAGCTAAGCAGTTTGAGAAACTGACAAAAAGGCCTGTCCACCTAGACAACGGGGAGGGGGGAGCTCTTTAAAAGAAAGTAGCATTTATTCAGAAATGGGCATTGAAGTGGAAATATGTGTGCCATAGTAAACTGTGTGTACTCAGAAAAGTAAAGGCAGGCAAAGATTTTTAAAGTAAAGATGAGGACGTTTACATAATTGTTTTGAGATAATTATTTTTGGCTACATGGACAAATAACAAGGGTGGCACCAGTCTGAAGTTGGACAGGAAGTTGCTGGTCAGATGTTCTTGCAG